CCCAGGCACATAGGGCCTCTCCGCGCAGGCTATGTGCAGATAGTGCGCGCATAGTGTGCAGTGCTTGTCCGTACGCAAGGTGATGCACGGACGACCTGCTTGTGTGTGACAGAACAAGCGTGCAGGTCCTAATCCCATGCCATGCGCGCGGATGGGACATGCACGTTATGCATACGTCCCACAGCCACTGTACACGCGAATAGTTCCCAACACCCGTACAGGCAACAAGCCTTCTCGTGGGATTTTCCCGCGGGAATATTTTTTTTTTCATTTTGCTATTTTCCAATTTTTTTTTTCTAAATTTTTATTTTTAATTTAATTTAGTTAAATTAAAATTATTTAAAATAAAATAAAATAAAATAATTTAAAATAAAATTTAAATAAATAAAAATTAACTAAAATCACAAATCACGATAAATGTTAAATAACGTAAATTAATTAAGTCCAAAGCGGTCAAATACTCAAATAAATAGAGTTTTCAAATCATTTTAATACAGTAATGGGCAGGGTGTTACACTTACTAAAAAGAGCTAAACACCTTTTAGTTAAAATGTCTGTCAGTTAAGAATTGATGAGCATGTATGACATACATATTAAGTTATTGTCAAACTTATGACATACATATTAAGTTATTGTCAAACTTTTCTTTGATAAAATATTTTTCAACCTCAATATTTTTGATCCGGTCCTATTGTATCAGATTGTGAATGATATTTTGGTTGATCTATTGTTAAAGAGTAAACGTATAAAATTTTTCACTTGATCTTAATATATTCTAAGGTTCTTTTTATCCATAATCGTTTACATACCCCTTGTGTCATTACTTAAAACTCTGATTTTACACTTGATCTTAAAATGACATTTCGTTTCTTACTTTTTCAAGTGATTAGGTTATCTCCAAAGAATATACAGTAGCTATAGTAGATCTTTTATTTATAATCGATCCTACATAATTTGTATTAATATAGGCTTCTAGGAGTAATTTGACATTATTCTTAAACATAATTCATTTCCATGGTGATCCCTTTTAAGTATTGTAGTACTCTATAGATTGCTTGTAGGTGCATTTATTTTGCATTGTGCATGAATTGACTTATAACACTTACTTCATAGACAATGTTTAGTCTTGTATGGAATAAATAAATTAATCTTTCAAATATTTTTTGATACATTTCCTTGTTGTTGATATATCTCCCTCTACTATTTTTAATTTGTGATTATGACTAATATGAGTGCTACTTGGTTTGCATGCTAATTTGTCAGTACTTTTTGGTAGGTTGTGAATGTATTTATGTTAAGAAATAAAAATTTCAGATATAGAGTGAACAACTTTAATTCTCATAAAATACTTTAAGTTGCCTAATTGCTTAATTTAAAATTCTTTTTCTAGTCATTGTTTTAGTGTTTGTTATTTATTCTTATCGTTTCTTATTATAATAATGTCATCATGTTTCATTGTGAATTTTCTCATTTTGTCATTTTTAAATCACTTTGTATTGGTTGTTTAAGAATATGAATGTCAAAAATGAAGTTATCATGTTTTATACCTTTTTGCCTTTTTTTTTTCTTTTTCTCATTTTCTTTGTCTTGTTTTAATTTCTTATTTACTATTTTGCGTGTCGCTATTTGGTAAATTTTATTGTTGCTTCTTTTTACCTTAAGTTGTTGTTGTAACCCTTAGTTAGATTTTTGTTGTTGAGCCATTGTGTACTTTTTTTGTATTGGTTTTACATGCATAAACTCATGTTAGTGTATGATTAGCCATATGTTTTCTTTTAAGTATTGTCTATGAACACTCCAGTAAAAAAGACAACTTTTGTACAATAGGCTCTCTTTTAATTTTAGTGAAGAAAAGTTTGTTTGGTAACCTTATAATTATTTTTCTCATTTTACTTTACTTTTTATTGTACAAGTTTGACAAGTAAAGATTACTAAAAACTTAAGGGAATGGTGTTGGTTGTTACTTTCAAGTTCTTTCTTTTAAAAATCATGACTTTAATGCTTTATGGAACATTTCAAAATTTCATAACAAAAGTTGTCTTCGTTTTGGTATGCTTTTGAATTCATTTTTGCATTATGTTCATTTAAATTAGATTGACTTTTGAGGTTTTAACCCTTTTAATAACATATCAGTAACTTTCTTTTTAACCTCCTACAGTCATTTAAGTTTAGTGGCAATAATATGTTATACGTTATTTTTGTACACATTTTGCTAGGACCACCATATTTTCCCTAAAATATACTTGCATTGTCTCTTTTTTGCTTGCTACTTGTTATTCCCTTCCTTATGGCTTGTTAATTGTTTTATTTGAACTGTTTGCCACTAATTGAGTTAACTTTCTAATTTTTTTACTTTTTTTATTCTGTTTATATTATGATATATTTCTTTAGATGTATGAGGATTTAATATGATTAAAAAAATATTTAATTATTATTTAGTAATATATCATATTATTATAAAATGAAATGTTTTGACAAGAGTTTGGTGGCTGCCAAATTAACTTAATGAGCACATTAAAGATATATAAAGTGACAAGAATGATTTTTAAAATAAATACTTAATATTTTAAGAGATCAAACATTCCGTCGTATATGACATAATATATATTAGTTTAATCCAAATTCAGTAGTATTCTTATCATGTTGGTATTGTGATGAGTTGTTTAGAAAAAAACTATATTTAAAGTGAATTGATTTCATAACAATAAAAATTCAATAAATATTGTAAATTTAAATATCTGTTTATTAATTTAAATAATTATTTTTTGTAACAAATAAAAAGCAAATAATTTTTTCTCCTATGAGCTGAATAATGATTGTATTCATAATATTTTAAATAAGCTCTTACGATAATGTTGTTGTATGAATGCTTGTAAGCATATTATTAAGAATACATTCTAAATTTAGTTCCCATGTGAATATAAAGGGAGCATGGATGATTTTTTGCTGAAGGGAATTTGAAGAGAAATTGATCCCGTTGAGTTAAATTTAGCCTTGTAATACTCTAATTTTATTATTATTTTTTTAATTATTATTAAGTTTTTCTTTCGAAGCACATCCCCTTATTAAAGTTAACCCATTCTTCTTTTGAAGCAATCACAAAGCCAGCCCAAAAGAAAATCAAACCCAACCACGCGACTTAAACTCTGCGCATGAAGTACGACAACCCAGCTTCGTAGTGGAAAAGCCATGGACGCCGTCGTTTGAAAAAGAATCCATGTTTTGCTTCTGGTATTCGAACACAATCAATAGGTCGGGTTTTCATTTGATTCAGTAGGCTTCCATGGAGAGAGAGGGAGCTGTGGATGAGAGAGGCACGCAATGAGTTGGCATCGAATCATGAAATCAACGCCGAGAGGGGCTTGTAGATTTTGTTGCAAAGGTATCGAGCTGGAACACGAGAATCGTGGGTACGCGTGATTCTCGGGAAGAAGAAAGACTCGTGGCGGCACCTGTAAAGGAGAGGAGTGGACCGCAATTGTGAGAGAAAAGGGAAGGTTGCTGCGGGCTTCTTGTATTTGGTATACGGGGAGGGCGAACGGGAAGAGGAAGATGGATGTTTGGGTCTGTTATTGAGTAAAAATGGAGACTGAACAGTGACAGTGATTCAGAGAGATAGAAAGATGAAGATTTTCAGGGTTGAGAAGTGCCAGAACAGTGAGGAAAAATGTCTGAGGTGAATTTCGGGTATTGATTGGAAAATCAGAGGAAAAAAGTGGAGACCGTGAGCAAGAGAGTGTGAGCCGAGAGGGAGGATTTTGGTAAACTTTTGGGTTTCTTTTTCAGGTCCGTGTGCAACGTTGTGTAGAGAGAAGAAGTGAAAGAAGGATTTGCTCTTTGATTTCAGGTACTCTTTAAATTTGTTTAATTTCTTTTTGCTTTATTCTATGTTTTATGGATGTGATTTGAGGATTTCTTGAATGTCAAAGGAAAAAGATGCCGTTAGTTGACTTGAAATAGGACTATCAAACACTTCTTCTGTGGTGTCCTATGTCCTATCAACTTTAGTCCCTGGTTTGTAGTCTTTCGCGAGTGAAGTGGTTGTGGTCGACCAGGTCAAAGAAGAGACATGGGCAAGGAGAGGCATATGAGGGAATAAACAATACAATAAGAAACTAGGCCTTGTCACATTGGCTACCTTAGAGGTTATTTGAAAAGAAAGAAATAGGAGAGCCTTTTGAGAGTATAGAATTGTCCTTTTGGTAGAACTAAAGATACTTGGATCCATACACTTAGTTTTTTTTAAAGTACTGTTTTTACACCAGTAAGGACTTAGTAAATGTGATTCATTTTGTCAAATTTGTAAATAAGTTTGTCTATGGGTTGCATTTTGTTGGTGTGGGTCAGTACTACACTCTCTTTTCTTTCGAAGTGTATCTTAGTTTTTGTTCTATGTCACTTAAGGCTTGTATATTTTGCTTACTAAATTAGTAGTCCTAAAATACTCCTTTGTGACTCTATATATAATTCTAATTTTTACTCTTGAACAAATAATCGTTAATATTAAAAGCATTCTCCATCCTCGGAGTCAATATAAAAAGTTGAATTTAGAGAATCAACAAATTTATTTTTCTCATGGAACTCCTTGAACAAGCCCAAAAATGTCACTCATAATCACATCCCAACTACTTTAGAGAAATGCCGTATCGTGAGTAGGAACTTTGTTGCAAGGCGACCCTCATCTCATCTTTAGAAAACCCTTTGAAAGCTAATGCATCATGTCTAACTAAGGAGGCAAAAGTATTATTGCCAATTTCGCACTCCATGTTTTAGGTTCAATGTAAGGCTGCAATATAACTTCACAATTGCTTCTTTCAACGTGTTATTAATTTGAAACTCAATTGCTTCTTTTAGCCAAATGGATGGATCAGTGACCTGAAACTTCCTTTTTTTTGGACTTAAATGGTAGAGAGACTGATGAACTACTCACTCTTTTTTTTTTGCTGGGTAGAAAACTCCTCTCTCCTAACATCTTGGATGTTGTCTAGCTTTCCCAATAGGCGGATAGTAAGATGTGGACATTCGAATCCTTGGGAAATTAAACTTGCAAATCCTTTTTGAAAATAAGAAGTATGATTTTCAGACATTGCTCTATCGGCATTACATAGGAATTGATAGACAGTGATCTTGTAATGATATGGGATTTGGAGCCGATAATCCTCTGCTTGGTCTTTTGTATTTTTGAGTTTCTTTTTTGTTTATTTTTTTGATTCTTTTACTTGAAGTTTTTAGGATGATGTTTTATTCTCTAATTATGTATTTTCTTCTTCTTCTTTATAGTGCTTTTTTTTAATCAAAAGCACTTGATCCTTTTTCGATCACATACTCAACATTTTGATTGATGACTCGTGTTCATTTGCTTCAAAATGTTCTTTGTGCTTATTTTAAGCTTGGTATAGATGTTTTTTCTCCTTTTTTTCTTGTTTCCTTCCCCTGTTCAAACACTTGCATCTTCATTCTTTTGAGAAAGTTATCAAAGTTTTTTTACTCATTATATTATTATTATTTTCTAGAGTACCTCTCATGACTAATTTTCTTATAAAATCCATCTGTAAAGTAAATATTCACTGTGAATGTAATTTTAAAAAATTATTTGTTAAAGGAAAAATAATTGATATTTTTATATCAAATTAAAGAGCAGATATATCTAAATTTAAATTCAACGATCGAAGCTCTTTTATTGAAGATGGCAACCAGGCCAGTGGAGAAACGAGTCAAGTACAAAACTTCAGTGAAAGATTCGGGTACTCCTGGTTTCCTCAGAATGGTAATTTACCTTCACTTTAGCTATTTTATTAATGTTCTTTTCAACTATAAGCAGATTCATGTTTCAAAAAAGAGAAAATTATGTTGTGCTTTATTGAGTTTATTTCTCTTTTACATTTTACATATTTTTTTGCAATCAAGTAATAAGATAAAATTGTAAATAAGAAGTGTTCCCTTTTCCCAGTTGCTTTAATAGGTTTAAGATGAGGTGGCAAAGTAGTTTCATATTCTTTAGATTCTATATAGTGGTATTATGATTGGTAGATATAGAAAATGTTACTTGTCCAAAGAAAAGATAGAGGAGCTTATAAAATTTATATTATTAATGTGGGATATAATAGTTAAGGTGAAGAGGCTTACTCTTGGAATCCTGTATGCATCAAACATTAGGTGAGGGGTTATCCTAGAGAGAGAAAAATAGTGATGTAAGCTTCTAAGAAGAAGACTTTCATGTTTTTTCTACAACTAGGATCCTAGTTGCAGAAAGAAAGTCTTTCGACTTGGAATAATGGGTAGAGAAGTTGATGGAATTGAGATGAATGAGAATGGCCGAGGCTTTGGACGAGAAGGGAGGTGGTAAGTACCTGTCCTCACAAAGAGACGGGAAGAAGGGAGGAGAAATCTTCTTCCCTAAGGATTCTCATGAAGGTGGATGGTTGAGGTTGTTAGTGTCATTATGCGATCAGGTTGGGAAACCATGAATGGCCCATGCAGGAATCAGTACCTTGAAAACCACCATTGACAAGCGGCTTCGAGGGTTCAAAGCCACATAGTTGGTCTTTGGAAGTTCAGTGTTGCCCTGACTGTTGCACCTACTTGAGGGTGTCGTTGGAGTTGAAGTTGGAGCGATTGTCTATAGAGGTGGTGAATGAGCAGGAGAGACACAGAATCAAGTAGGGAAGATGGAGCAAAATTTGAATTTAGACTCAATTCTGTTGAGCCTTTTAAGTTCGGTTATAAGTAGGCCCTAAGTGCCTAATTTCATCCAAGCTCACTCTTTCTTAGGTTGAAAAATTGGAGAAGTCCAAAAGGAAGTTCTCTGTGGGGGAAAAGAGGAAATAGATATCAAAGGTTTGGTCCAGAGTTTGGGTGGCATGTGAATTCGAGTAGGAGGGGAGAAAAGTCATGTTTTTTATTAGGCTCTGTTGGCGTGATGGACCTTCCTGAGGTCAGATAGCTCTTCGAAGGTCTATTTTTTCTAAACATACTTGGTGAGAGCAGTCGACTTGGGTTTGATGTTTTGTAGGTGGTGTTGGGAGAGAGAGAGAAGGGGGGGGGGGTTGGTTTCGAGGGAGGAGGGAGGTTTGGGAATGAAGCAGGAGGAGGAATGATGGAGGCTTTTGCTTCTGAGGTGCTCATGTTGAAGTGCGTTAGGGGGAGATGTTGGTGGTAGACAATGATGTCATGGGTAGAGAGGGAGGGGAGAAAAATTGGGAATTGGCTGTTGTTGGTTTTAGTGAGGGCAATACTAATTGTGTGTGGGGGGGATGAGAATGAGGAACGAGTAATCAACATTATTAAAAAAAATAAACAAGATGTTGGGAATGAGTTTAAACGGTTTTAAGGACCAAGCCCTCGAGCTCTTTAGGGCTATTATCAACCAAAAGAGGGCAAAGGGAAAATCAAAGGCCCCAAGATCCACGTAGCCAAAAAGGGGAGTAGACAAGGAGAGGGAGTTGAAAAGGTTTTAGTTATCCATTAGTTATGACAAGCCAAGTAAGGGAGAGAAGGGTAACAATGGGGATCCTCAATTGTTCTAGTATGTTAAACAAAATCATTTCATATAAAGTGCGAAGTTTGATTGACCCAAAGAAATGAATAGTAGTAAAGGGTGCTTGGCAAGGTGGAAGCCTATTGTTATATGTTTTTAAGAATCAAAAGTAGAAATTTTTTTTAATGAGGTGGCCCATAGTTTATGCCAAATTGAGAGTTGGGGTGGAGAAATTTACTAGTAGGTGGGGTGTTAGTGTTTTGGAACGAGAATGTTCTGAAAGTAGGGAGGGTGCTTGATCTCTCGGGTGTTCAAACATTAGGTGAAAGGATGGAGATGGATATTCATAGGGGGTTTATGGGCTAGGTGAGGGAGGGGAGAAAGAGAAAGTGTGGAGGATATGGAGGAGTGAAAAAGGCGGTGGGACCTTCCATGGTTGAATGGCGGAGATTTCAATATGGTCCTGACAAGTTATAAGAGGTATGAGGGAAGTTTTTTTATAACCTATTATGAGTAATCTCATGAGATAATGGATAGGCTAAATTTTATGGATTTACGTTTTTCTGGTGGGAAATGGATATGGTTGAATGCCAAAGAGAGTCCATCCTTCTC